TTTTTTTGGTAATCGTTTGAACTTTGAAATAATGTTTTTTTTTATTCCTGGTAATGGTTTTGAGGAAGAAATTAATTTTGACTATCCAATCTCTTCTTTGAGTTTTTTAATTTCATCAACATCAACGAAAATAACCTTGACATCCATATTTTCTGCTGCCTTTGCAAATTGGGATGTTGTTGTTACTTCGATGTTTTGAGCCAAATCCGGATTTTACAAATCTTTTAACAAATCCTCCAATTCCGTCAACAATGGATTTTTTTTTTTTTTTTTTAATTATCTTTGCTTCCAACAAGGCTGCAAGCAACCACTAATTAGTGTTGGAAGTTACTGGAAGAGAAAAGATGAAGATTGTAGAGCAAGATACCGATTGAAAGACGACTTAAAAGATTGCAAATTGTATGAATCAGGAAAGCAAGATGAAGGAAGCGAATTCCAAAGAACTGATGTTCGAGGAAAAAAACTAGACGAATAAGAGTTTATTTACTGTGCATGGGTGCAAAAAAAGCCCATTTAATTTTCATCTTGTGTCATTTTTGTAACATTTTTAAAGACTCCATTATATACTTATTTTTGAACTGAGCTGTTGCATTGTCACTCCAAAATGTAACTTGTTGGACTGTTTCTGGCAGCTGCTTCATAATGACATCAATAAACAGAATCACTGTTTCTTTTGAATGTTTTTGATGGTTCAATGCAATTGCAAGTGACTGCAAATGAAACCGATGATATATAAATGAGGTGAGGATTAAAATTGGAGTCTGGCCGTAATGAGCGCTTTGTGGTTCCTTTTGAGTGATGCATTTAAAGTTTTCTGCAAAATCAACTCCTACAACAGCTTGGTTAGAATTTTGTTGTACATATATCATTCATTTGACGATATAGTTTAGCTTGATTAATTTTTACATATGTCTGATCCAAAAAATCAGGAGCTAATTCGTATAATTCATATAAAAATTCACTTATAGGCCCAGGCTTAAAGACTTTCTTGATATTGCAATAAACGTTAGGACAATTCTTTTTTAATTCAGTTTTAACCAATTTTTGCCAAGTTACTTGATTATTTACACTCTCAATTTCATACTCCAATATTTGAATGTTAAGTGTATCCATACAATATTCACAATGGTTCATGAAACACTCAATAAGCAGATTCTCACATGTGAAGTTTAAGTGCATGTCATTGTCTATCAACAAATAATCAAATATGGGATGTGACTTCTTTAAAGTTACTAATTTAAAACGCATATTTTCATGAATAGCGCAAATACAAACGTTATGCGGTACTTTGGTGACTGACAAAACATTACATGGTCTTAAGTAAAAAAAGTTTGTTAATCCAATAATAATACTTGGATTCTGTTTTTTAAATATTCCATAAATTTGCTTTATAGGGTAGATCAAATGTTTATCACTAAGTTTTTTTTTAATTCTGCCTTCACAAGCTTCAACCAAGTCTTATATGTTTAATGATGTTGTACTTATACCATCGCTTAGATAAAAACTTTGCACTATTTTTATAGTGTCATCTGATAAACTTTTACAGTTGCTGCGATTTAACTTAAATGGTTGACTTTCAGTTAATAATATTTTCAAAATAGAAATATTTTGTTCTGGAGATCCAACATTTTTTACTTTTTCATTAACTTACCTTTGACTTGAGAACAAGAAAAAGGACTTGTCTTATTTATTGATCGCACAGCAGTTCTCTTCTTCTCTCTATACTTCTTTTGCCTTTCGTTATTTTTTGTATTTCTTATTATTCTTTGCTCATTATTGAGAAATTTTTAATCTTTGTCTATAAGTTTTTGAATAACCTGCATTAGGAGTTTTGTTTTGCTCTGGATTCTGTTTCCTCCATTTTGCAGACTTTTCTTTTGGTGTCTATATGATAAAAACAAAATTACTTTTTTTATACTATTTATATATAACTTGAGCAACTTGATTATTAAACAATTAAAAATTAAAACTTAGAGCATGGTAATTTAATTTTTAAAAAGTAAATCTAATGCTTGCAAGTACAATTTTCAAATTATGAAAAAATAAAAATTCTGTGGTAATGTAATTCATTGTTATTTAAAGTTATGTCAATAACATCGTTTAATCAAGTTTTCAAAGTAGTTACTGATGTAACGCAACTTTAAGTATAAAATTTGGAATCAATTTTTCTTTTGATGAGATGCTGCAGAATAGTTCAAGTGTATGCAACCTTATATCTGCAAATTGTTGAAAAAAAGAGTTTGCCGAAAAAAAACAAGAGCACCGGAATACGCTGAGCAACAAATATCAACTGTGAAATCTCAATGGCGTTGGATGACCCGAAATTACTCTGGAAAATGTTATGTTTTGGGTGACAAAGTTACTTCCCCCTCTCCAAAATGCAAGTTCCAGGAAATGGCTACACCTACAAAAGTAAAATACAAATATAAACACAAGTTTGAGCAGAAAGTGATGCTGTACATAGACGTATCTGAAAAGGGAATTTCCAAGCCATTGTTTAAGCCAAGTTGTTTTGCTCTTAATCAAGAAGTGTACCAAAATCAATGTTTGAAGAAAATATTTATTCCATTTCTTCCAAAATATCATTCAGATGGCAATTTCTAGATTTAGCGTGATAAAGCATCATCACATTATGCCAAAAAAACACAAGTCTTCTTGGAAAGCCAAAACATCCCGTATGTATCAAAAAACCACAATATGTAAAAACTATTAAATTAAAAAAAAACAATAACACGAAGACGCAAATTAAAAGACTAGAATGTTTTTAATTATAATTCAATGTTTTTATTTTTTCTTTAAAACACGCAGAGCGTTACTACATCAATTATCTTTCAAATAATAAAAAAACTTTTTAAACTTTTTGCGGTCTTTAAAACAATTAATTTTTTTAACCAAATTATTATCTGCTAGGGAGTCTGCAAGTATTTATATTACCAAATATTTGTTAGAAGAAGGTGCACGAGTATCCATCTATGATCCCAAAGTAACAATGGACCAAATCATGTTGTAAGTAAACAATGTTTTGTATTATTTTAAATATTATTTGTAGTGTTTTTGTTTTTTAAAAAGTACTTCATTTATAATTTTTATAAAAGAGAACTAACTGATCCTGATCTTGGTTTGGACCCTAAAAAAGGTAAGTAATTTTTTACACCTTCAAAAAGATAATTTACATTAATAGGTTATATACAAATTTTTTATACATTTTTAAAATTAATTTTAGTTGTCATTACTTAAAATGAACAATGACTTTAGCAATTTAATGATAATAATTAGAATTTTTTTTTTCATGTTTATAATAATAATGATTCTTTGCATGCTTTTTTTTAATGAGATGCTTAAAACAATTTTTAATCAAAATTAAATTATTAAAAATATTTTTTGACTTTTGGTTATGTTATTTTTATGTTTTTTTTTTTTCTTTTTTAAGTAAAGAAACTTGTAACAATTGCACCTGATGCCTATTCTTGCATAGAAAATGCTCATGCTTTTGTGGTTGCTACTGAGTGGGATGAATTTAAGGTGTCTTTTTACTATATTTTGGTAGTGAAACAATGTAGGATGTATATTCTGTGTTTTAAAACATTTTTTAGTGAGGGTTTTAACAGAATGAAGTAATTTTTCTGGCTAAAACAAATACTTCTCCTCTCCATACAGTAATAGATTTTTTATCATAGGTTATAAAACAAATCACAAAATTAAGTTTAAAAAACAAGTGCTAACCATCTGTTTTCCAAAAATTTTCAGAATACTGCAGTTAAGTCATTTGTGTTTTGATCATTTTTATTTAAGCAGTATATCAAACAACATTTTTATAATACTTAACGAATTGAGCATTATTTCTGAGTAAAGATTTTTGAATGTTTTTGAATGTTATTTTCAAAGTTATTTTAACACAACATTTTTTGGCCTTGAGTTACTATTTGTTACAAGTGATTTTAATATTAATTTTTTAATATTAATATTATTTTTATAACTCAAAAAATATAAAATAATTTAGTGAATAATAAATTTATACTTGATCTTTGTGAAAGTTTTGAATGTTTTATATTTTGCTCTAAGCTGTTGCTTACTATATAATGTTATATGGATAACTTTTTGTGAAATAGATTTATTTCTATTAATGTTTTTAAACATTTAGTTTTTATTTTAGCTGTTGGATTATAACTTGATATACAAAAAGATGTTGAAACCTGCATTTGCATTTGATGGCCGATTAATACTTGATCACGCACATTTACATGACATTGGGTTTCAAGTTGAAGTTGTTGGAAAGATCATTTCCAGTGGTTACCCACAACCTCTTACTCCAACTCTCCCGCCTACAACCTCTTTTTTTTTAATGAAAGGTCCAGAGTTGTCATCTAGTAGCCGTGCTCCGCCAACTATCTATGGATAGATTAAACATAAAAATATTTAGTTTTTTCTATCATTTACCAAAATTTGATGGATTATTTATGATTAAATATTTTGTAAAAATTGTTTTTCACAAAAAATTTTTGATTTATTTTCAATTTTAATAATTGTGATGCAAAAATGTAACAAAATTTATTTCCATTTTTAAAACTAAGGTATTTATTGATGTTTATTTATTTATTTATGAATTTTTTTTAATTATGGTGGTTTTAACTGATAACTTTTATTTGAAAATTTTAGATCAACTTTAATTTATTTTATTTTAATTTTTTTTAATGTTTTATGTTTGATGAGCTAGTAAATAGAAGCATTTTCTAGTAAAATTTTTGTTTTGTGTAAATGTTTAACGTAAATGCTCTAATTTATTTGGTAGTGTTTGTTAGCTTAAATAAACTTTTAATTTTATTTTTAACTTGAATGAAACAATTTTTTTAACTGAAAGAGATTATTTTTCTAGAATTATTGAGAAATTTGTAGATATATTGTTTAAATTGTATGGCATATACTTCAAAATTATTCTTTGTAATAACAGGAAAATGTATTGGAAGATTAAAGATGAATTTATTACAATCATTTTTAGAATT